GAATTTAATGGGATTTACTCCCGAGTAAGCATTTAGGCCACAACCCAGCATATATCTACCCACAACACTAACTGTACAATTATGACATTGTTGAAGTCAGCAGGATTTATATCTAGGCCCATGTTCCCAATCTGTTGCTTCCAAATTCTGTCCTTGTTAGCAAGATTTGATGATCCAAACAGTGCCATCCTGAGTAGAGTTACCCTGCTCTAAAGCCATTGACTTCAAAATAGAGCATGTTTTAAAACAAAATGTTTGCTCAAACAATGCCTCACTTTTATTGATATGCAGTGTTGGAATTTTTTTTAATCTAGCTGGTCATTTTATGAGTCTCTCTAAAGGCAAGGCATGAAAAGCTTTCCGGAATGGGGAAACCAAGAAGGTGAGACTGCAAAGTAATCTTTTCACTATTCTGTTGAGGTTTATTTTCTCCTTAAATTGTGTGATGAACAAAACACCAGATAAATATACACCTTTCAGCAAAAGTAGTTTTACCTGGAGGTGTTAGTTGGGTACTTTAGTGAATTGTTTCTAAATTGGTTGAAAGAGATAAATTTAATTTATTTTGTTTAAAAACAGGGACTTTGCACAAGCGTTTTTGAATGTTTGTACATACACCTTTATATAAATTGAACTCATCAGTGATAAACTTCCTTATTATTATACCACTTTCAGCTCTTTTGCATCCATAATTTCTTAGGTATTGATTTTAGTAAGAATAAGACATTCTGAAATCTGCTCCTAAAGAATTTGTCTTGAGTTCTCCTAAGAGAGATGGGATTTATTTTAGTGGGTTGTGATATGGTCCATTAAAATGCTTGACCAGAAACCAAAATACTAAGCTCAGAAAACTTTTACCTGGAGACTGTCTCTCACAAAACAGTAATAAGTGAATGGTGTGACCACTGACCAGTTGTGTTCACAGTTATCTTTCACACAATTCTGTATTTGAAATTAGGACAACACCTTCTCTTTTTTTTTGTGTTTCAGGTGGTCAGCCATGTTGATCTGAAGCAGTAGTACAAATTTAGAGTCCAGAACTCTATCTTCCATTCCAGAGTATTTGAAAAAGTGTGTGTGCACATGAAAGCTCATACCTTGATTAAACCTTTGTTGGTCTTAAAGGTGCCACTGGACTCTAAATTTGTTCTCTTTTTGTGTGTGTGAGCAGAAAACACAATACATAGTATGGGCCTGTAACTATAGTTCTTATTCCATGGCTGGGGGAAGAACTGAATGAACAGGGATTGAGAGATTCCTTTGTCAAATTCAGCCCAAGCCAATCATGCATCTCAGCCCGCTTTCCTATACCAGAAGCATTACTTATTAAATATAAACCAGGGGAGGGGGAGCTTGGCAAAAACCACTCTTTACAAAGAGATACACGAGTACAGAATTCCTCCCAGAAAACATATGCAATTCTCTTTAAAAAAAAAAAAAACTTCATTGAGATACAAAAAGCTTATGATGCTGCCTTGACAATATTAATTGCTTCAAGTTCCAGACAGTTTTTTTTTTAAGCACACAGAGTGTCATTCTGATCTCATCTTTGCTTATACAACATTGCTGGTTTTACACTGATGTCAGCTGTATTGCACAGGCAACCTTGAGAACAGAATGTTGTATATTGTGGTGTTCCAACATGGCTTAAACCAAGAATGTAAAGACATTACCACGGCAATCTTCTCATCTTCTTTCACCCTGATCCAAGTAACGCCATCTCCATTTGGAAATATGGAGTTGCTCTGTTAGAGGAAGGTTTCATCCATTGAAGCGAGGCTCCTCAGTTAAGAGGAAGGGAGTCAAGCATCCAGATGTTGATTCCATAGGCAGAATTGCTTTACCATGTGTTCAAAAGCCTACTTAGGTAAGTGGTGGTAGGGAAAGAGGCCACACCCATTATCTAATGATGTACATATAAATCACATACTTTACTCCACAGAGAATTCTATGTACTCCACATTGGCACACTAGGCACTCTTTGTCCATCTATGCACAAACTGCTGTTCCACATCTATAGATTAGGACCAGTGTGCATGACCATATTAAGGAATACCTTTAACGGGCAAAGTGGCTGTCCCTCCAAGACATTTTATTGCCAGGGTAAAGCTAAAGTACAACCCTTCCTCAGTCCTGGGCTCATGAATAAGCGTATCATTTCATTCTTTCCCAGAGAAAGCCTTATTGCTGAGAAGTAGAGACATAAAAATTAATGTGTTCAAGAAATAGCATTTATGTCACAAGATATCATTTGCATTTCTTAAAACAATAGTTACATCTATTTAATTTAGATTTATATTCTGCCATAGCACCATTTTAATTAATCAGACGCTACCCCAAGACATGGAAATGTTCATAATTTACAGTATAGCTAGAATGGGATAACTGAACTACACTGTAGCTGGAGGCACAGGATGAGTTTCAGCATTTCTTTTACAACTCTTAAATCAGGAACTGAAGGTAATATTTTGTGTCTGCAATATTTCTATCTCCTATTCCAATAACTGACTCACTAGCTCTTGCAGCATGAACATATGCAGGTTTACTCAGAAGACTTACATCCAAGTAATTGTTTGTGTCATTGGAACCTAGGGGAAGTTGACAAATGGTATTTTTAGTCTGGAAAGCATCACTTCTGAACATTGTTAAAGAGGTTAAGCAAGAGTAAGGCAACCACTGTTAACTCAGATGATGCAGAACACATTTTGTTTAATTTGATTTGCAAAATGATTGTTAAAAATGATTTAAGTTAAAAATACCCTTGTACTGTATGCTAGGTCCCCTTGATCCAAAGAAAATTGGCCCCACTTGTCCCATGGAAATCAGCAAGACAAATGAGTTGCAACAAATTGAAATTATATTTTTCCATACTTTAAATTATAGCAATCTCAATAGCCAGACTAGCCAGAGCTTGAAAGCTAAGCAGGGTTGATGATGGTCAATACTTGGATGGGAGACCACCAGGGTTGCTATGCAGAGGAAGGCAATGGCAAGCCTCCTCTGCTCATCTCTTGCCTTGAAAAACCCATGAGGGGTCTCCGTAAATTGGTTGCATCTTGATGGCACTTAATTTAAATTATTTATTTATACACCACTGAAGATGCCTAAAAGAGATGTGAACTGGAGAAGTGCTGCAATATTGACTGCATTATATACCCTGAATTGAGATATGAGCCAGGGCTATGAACTAGAGAGACAAGTGGTTTGCTGGGAGACTGGGGCAAATGAGTCAGGGACAGGGATGAGCTAAAGGCAGAAACTGCAGAGTCTAATGGTGGTGCACATAAGCAAGAGGTAGAGCATGGAGAAGACAGATTGTGTGAAGTGATAAAGGGGGTAAAGTGCTGGGGAGAGACAAAGTACGTATTCCCCAGCAGAGAGCTCAGAATCAGAGCCGTTTCTGATAAAGACAAAATCAAGACAGACCCAAAGGCAGTATTTTGGAAGAAGTATCCAGATAGAAGAAATTATTAATGTGAACACCAAAATCTCCATTGAGCAAGATATTGTCAGAGACAAAGAGACCCAGACATCAACGTCTGAAACAACGGTTGTAAGTGAACCAATTTATTTCAGTGGGACTCAAATACACTTAAGTTTCCCTTGGTCAGACTCTTCATATTTATTACGAACAGCTTTTAGGCTTGAAGAGAAACCAATTGGAAGTGTTTTCCTATGTGTGGCCATGGAAGACTACAGAGAGAGAAACTGATGGCTATGTTTTTGTTCCCCTTTAGTTAAAATTAAGGCTAAAAATCATCAAGGAAACCGTTGGATTATTTTTAAAAATTTAGGTGTGTGCTCTTAGTTTTACTTTTTCACTTCCGTGATTTATGGCTTTTGTGGAATATATTTTATTCCCACTGAGGTTGTGTCAGCAGGCCAGAATTCAGCACTTTGAAAATCCCTGTTTGAAACCAATGGGACTTGAAAGTACTTAATGGTGACTGGATTGTGCCTTAGATAGTCTTCTTAACTAGCTCTAAATGGTCTGCTTAAGTATAATTTGTCCTATAATTTTGCTCCCAGCAAATTTCTTAGCTTTTTAATCCAGAATTCTGTCATACATTTTGAAGTGTTTTAAGATGCAATCCTAAGAATGCTTTCCTGGGAGTAAGCCCCAGTGAATAAAAGGGGACTTACTTCTGAACTGGTGTGTTTAGGATTGCTTCCTTAGTTACTGTTCCACAAGTAATTTTAAAAAATGCAACCGAACGTGTATGTGTATAAGAAAAAGAACACACGGATTTAAAACACATCAGAGTGGTTTGGGAAGACTGGGTAGAATCTCAGGCTGGACACAGATCAAAAAAAGACGATGAAGAAAGAACCATAATAAAGGAAAGATGAGTGCTAAAATCTACTGCAGGGGTTACCTCAGTATTTGCTGAGTCCAGAGGCACTGGAAATCGGCAGTTTCTCAGCTGCAGGAAGCTGCAGTGATTAAATGGAAGACACTGAAAACGACTTTGTTTATAATAGAATTCAAGAATGTGATTTCTGACATTAGCCTCATGTTCATGGAAGTGATTTGTGGGCAGCTGGCAGGGGTTAAGAGGAAAGAAAATGCCTGTAGATGTGAATCTATGTAAGGAAACGTAACAGCAGTAAGGAGGAGGGTGATATGACAGATGTGAGGACTAAAAGTATACTAAACATTGCTCTTGGGGCTATGTCATCACAACAGCAATGTCTTCATCACTTGTGAAGTCCTCTTTCCTCGCTCATGATCTGATTGCGAATTGGTCCCTTGGCCAGTGGGCTGTGAGTCAGCCACCCCTGACCTACTGAAAAAACAATCGGTATGTATCCCTGCCCACTTCAACCCACAGAGTGCAAGAACCACAAGCTTCAAAGTTTGGAATCCTGCCCTCCCCAAGTCCCTATCCTGGGGCTGAACCTAGCTTAACCCCTACCCCACTCTGGCATGCTTCCCCTTTACACTTTGCTATATTCATAATCTACATCTCCTAGCATGGAGTGAGGGGGGGGGGATCAAGCTACACGGTCAAGTCATCAGACCTGGCTCTACTGCTGCTTGACTTGCTAGCCCTGCTCAAGCGGCGTGTGTCTATGAGCAGCGGCGGGTCATGCATCTCCACCAAGGTGCAGGTAGCTGACACAGGTCGTTCCTCCTCTTCACCATCTCCATCCCACTTGCTGCTGCTTCCCCTACTCAGACTGGTGCTGATACTACTGCTATTGGTGGTAGCTGCAAGTGACAAAGGGAGTGGGAGTGGGGGATGCTCGCTGGGCTCCTCTTGCTCAAGAGGTGAACGCTGGCGGCTACTCTGGGTGGTGGAGGAAGATGAACTGGATACCGGCAGTTTCCTCTGCTGCTCGACGGCCATATTGGCCCAGTTCTGCTCATCAGCCAGCTCATGGCTGCCACTGTTGAAATAGTTAACGACTGATGAGGGTGAAGGGATGGAAGATGTAGTTGCTATAGGAGTAGAGACTGAAGTGTTCCTGGTGGCTATATGCCTCTCCTCACTGATTGGTGGCCCCCCTGGGTAGCTAGCCAGGGAGGTGGAGGCTGAGGCTGGGCGGGACCCAGAGACAGCCTCAGCATAACGTGGCACCTCCCTTTCCTGAAAAACCAGTGGAGTGATGGCATGAGTCTCAGGGACAGTGATTGAGAGAACAGGTGGTGGCGGTGCTGTTGATGGCAAAGCTGACAGGGAGATGGGTTTGGAGTCTTCCACTTCCGAGACTGATGCAATTGTGGTGGTCATGGGTGGGTCATGGTGGAGTCTGTTGGACACGCCCTGCCTAAGTTTCTTCCACCCCAAGTGATATATCTCAAGCATGTTGAGCAGCAGAGACAGACAAGCTACTGCCAGCATGAAGATGATGAAGACAGTCTTTTCTGTGGGCCGTGAAATGAAGCAGTCCACGGTGTTTGGGCAGGGCCAGCGGCTGCAGCGGTACAGCGGCTTCAGCTCAAAGCCATAAAGGAAATACTGACCCACAACGAAGGCTACCTCAAACAGAGTTTTAAAAATGATGTTGAAAACATAGGTGCGTAGCAGAGCGCCTGCCATGCGAATCCTGCCATGCTCATCGCAGAGCGGTAGTTTCTCTTCTCTCCATGGAGACGGAGTCTTGCTAGTGCTACTGTGGTCGCCCCCACCAGATTTTGCTTCTGATCCCCCTGGGTGACAGTCCTCCTTGCTACTCGCTGCTTTCCTCATCTCTTCCTCTTTCTCTTTTTTTTTCTCCTCCATGCGCACAATGTGGAGCACATGGCCCAGATAGATGAGGGTTGGGGTGGAGACAAAGATGATCTGCAGCACCCAGAAGCGTATGTGGGAGATGGGAAAGGCTTCATCGTAACAGACGTTCTCACAGCCAGGTTGCTGTGTGTTGCATGTAAAGTCCGACTGCTCATCTCCCCAGACTTCCTCAGCAGCGGCCCCCAGCACCAAGATCCTGAAGATAAATAGTACCGTCAGCCAAACTTTGCCAATAACCGTGGAGTGCTCTTGCGCATTCTCTAATAGTCTCCCCAGAAAGTTCCAGTCACCCATTGTTTCAGATCTCTAACCTACAATAAGAACAGCATTATTACAAAAAAGAGCTGAGAATCTGGCAAGTAATTATCCCACCAAAAACATCCCCATACACCTAAATATTTGTCTGCAAACTGAAATTTTTGCAATAATACATTATCAGAATAGGTATTTTTTTTAATGGTGTGCAGACCTGCAGCCGATGATTACAATGAATAAACAGTATGAATTAGATACATATTCATTGTGCTATGAACTATTTATAAACATATTCATGGAAAATGATTGTAGACAATATGGTGTTATGGTGCTTGTCACAGTATTTACGTCATGCACATTATTTAATAAGGGCCTGTAAAATGCATGCAACCATATTAATTAGGGCAATCACAACAGAACTGTTTCCCTTAGCAGAATATTGATGTTTGAGATCAATTTCCCCATCTGCAGTCCACAGTGGTACAGTCCACGAACACTTTTGCCATGCGATCAACCTTTTACTTGTAATCATGAGGAACTAGGTGCCTTGTATACTTCATAAGCTTTCATATCAGAACTTACCATGTTATCTTTAAATCAAAAAGCCAAGACCTTACTCACAAGAGCTAATTGGATGCGTAAACAGAAATCTGTTAACAAGCAGAAACAAAATGGCAAACGCTATACTCAGCTGGGGGGGGGGGACACTTGTTCCAAATTGTTACACAAATGAATTCAGCAGAAGCTAACTCTAATTACTGAAACAAATCAATTTTGTTCCCCCCCCCCGCATACCTGAGCAAGTGCAGATGGCACTCATATTACACATCACCTCACTCCACCCCTACCCAGAAAGATTTATAGTAGGCAACTTTTTGTGTGTAGTGATCTGGGGGAGATGCTCTGGGTGAACTTAAACAGTACCAAAGACTTTCATGGTCTTGAATGACATGTTCAGACTGCACATGTGTAGCTACTTGATATACTCTGCCAGGCTAATCTGTGCTGTTCTTGCATTCGAGGCTTTCTGGAGCTACCTGGGAAACTTATTGCTTGGTATGAATACAGGCAGAGAAGCAACAAAAAATCATTTCTCCAGGGTCGGGGACAGAGGGTGGCGGTAGGGGAACAGACGTCCTAGAGGTACCCGCTGGTTTGTGGGGTTCCTCAAGGGGCAGTGTTATTCCCGATGTTATTTAACATCTGCATGCACCCCCTTGCACAGAGGCACAGGGTAGAGTGTCACCAATACGCAGACGACACCCAGCTATATCTGTTGCTGGGCGGCCAGTCCGACTCTACCCCAGATGACCTGGAGCGGGTGCTTCAGGTTGTGGCAGGCTGGCTTAGGCTGAGCCAATTGAAATTGAATCCAACAAAGACGGAGGCCCTGTGCCTGAGTCAGAGCAGTCCAGGGGTAGGGATCCCACTACCGACCTTCGATGGGGTGCCATTGGTGCCAGCGCTGAGGGTCAGGAGTCTGGGAGTGCTCCTGGACACCACCTTAACAATGGAGGCCCAGGTAGCAGCCACTGCCAAGTCAGCCTTTTACCATCAATGGCTGATCAGGCAGTTGGTTCCCTTCCTTGAACACAATGACCTGGCAACAGTGATCCATGCTATGGTCACCTCGAGGTTAGACTACATGGGGCTGCTCTTGTCCCAAATCCGGAAGCTGCAGCTGGTGCAAAATGCGGCAGCCAGGCTGTTGATGGGTCTCTCCATACAAGATCAAATCCAGCCTGTGCTGAAGGCATTGCACTGGCTTCCAATAGCATACCGGATTTGTTTCAAAGTGCTGGTTTTGACCTTTAACGCCCTATATGGTCGGGGGTTTGTCTACCTGAGGGACCGCCTTTCTCCATATGTGCCTCAGAGAGCACTGAGGTCGGGGACCCAACATCACCTGACTGTCCCTGGCCCGAAAGACGCCAGATTGGCCTCTACGAGGGCTAGAGCTTTTTCAGTGGCGGCTCCCCACTGGTGGAATGAGCTCCTGGAGGACGTCAGGGCCCTCTGGGACCTTCTACAGTTCTGCAGGGCCTGTAAAACAGAGCTCTTCCACAAGGCCTTCGATTAACAGCCGCTGCTGACGAATGAACCATCGTAGATTGAGCAAAAGAACCATCATAAATTGAACAGGCCACGGCCCCATATTACTACGCTGGACATGGCCTTTTCTTATCAAACATCTGTATATCACCACCATCTGTATATATTAGCACCTTATGTAATTGTCTTTTAATTGTGAATTTTTACTGTATTTATTGGTTCTATTGCATTTTAACTGTGTAAGCTGCCTCGAGCCAGTGCTGCACTGGCAAGGCGGGATATAAATTGAAATAAATAAATAAATAAAATAATTTATCACACTGTTGTGAATTTTTACTGTATTTATTGGTTCTATTGCATTTAACTGTGTAAGCTGCCTTGAGCCAGTGCTGCACTGGCAAGGCGGGATATAAATTGAAATTAATTAATAAATAAAATAATTTATCACACTGTCACTTTGACTTCCAGTCCCAAAGATGAATTTTATTTGATTCCATTCCTACCTTTTATTTGATTCCATTCCTACCAAAGCAACCGTTTATCTAATGGTGGAGATGCAGACCAAAAGCCTATGCCTATTTATATACTTATAATATTTATATATTGCCTTTGCACAAGAGGCAGTGTATAATAGTACTTTAAAATAGACTAGTGATACAGTTCCATCAACCACCAGCATTGATACAGAGTTAAGCAAAAAAACAGGAAAACCTCTAAAATAGTAAAAACAGCAAATAGTATATAAATTAATAAACAACAATAATGATAACCTACACGGGAGAACAATCAAATCTTAGCCTGGTGCCAAAAGATATTCAGGAAAGGTACAGGGTGACATGGGGGGGATTCCAAAGCCAGGGGGCACCAACCCAAAAGGCCCTATTCGTCAAAGAGTAGTATCCACCTCACTTTGAAGGTGGTCAGATATGAAAAAAAGCCTTAGATGTAAAATGCAGTGCCCAGGCAGGACAATATGGGAACAGTTAGTCCTTCGTGTACCTTGATACCACACCATGTGAGGCTTTATAAATAAAACCCAGCATCTTGAATTGACATAGTCTGCCTGTAATTCACTTTAGCTTGCAGCTCCATTCTGGACTATTCGAAGTTTCCAAACTGTCTTCAATGGCAGCCCGTAGTAGATAGCATTACAGTAGTCTAATGTAAATAACCAGATCATTGATCATTCTGGCCAGATCACAAGGAAGGGTTGCAGAAGCTGATTAAAGGTGTCACATTACAGCTGAGACCTAAACATCTGGATCTTTCAGCACACTCAAGCTGTGAACCTGTTCTTCCAGAGGTAGCAGATCTAATCCATAGATGGCTGTCTCCCAATTCCACAACAGCATTAACATCAACCAGCAGTACCTCAGTCTTATTTAGAGTTTTTGTTCTCTTCTAGCCCATTGCCACATCCAGACACTAATTCAGCACAGCAATAATCTCATCAGGATAAAATGGAAAAGACAGGGTTGATTGTCATCCACATGCAGATGGCACTGATCAGCAACCAAAGAGGAACACACAGTGTAGGTGTACAAGTGAATAGTAATCTGTGTGAAAAAGACCCTAACATTAGTTCAATAATAACCAAAGTATTGATACAAATACAACCATATAAACACAATCAAGTCCAATCTTAAAGCAGGAAAATGTCCTCTTGAGGTGAAGATGTATGAAGAATAATATATGAAGAATAGGAAGTTCTTTGAAACAGTTCTTAAAATCCGGATTCTTCGTATATTATTCTTCATACACCTTCACCTCAGGAGGAAACATTTCTGCTTTAAGATTGGACTTGATTGTGTTTATATGGTTGTATCTGTATCAATACTTTGGTTATTATTGAACTAGTGTTAGTGTCTTTTTCACACAGATTACTATTCCCTTGTATACATAACTCCAGATCTTCAGATGATTTTTCCCAGCAGTTTCCTGTAGATATTAGACAGAACTGCAACTATCATGTCCCTAGCAAAGGTCATCCAATAATGGGACCAAACTATTTCTGCTCCAAAAACGGGTTTGAAACTTGCTTGAAATTGGCCTACAATTACTAGTAATTACTCTTACTTGGACTAGGCCAATTGATCTCTGAGTGTTCAGGACTGGGGTTTCAATTAATTTACTACAGTTTACCTAAATGGTTGGTTGAGCAATGAACAGTGAAGAGGAAAATAAACTACCAAAATTATAGAAGTGTGGTAATAATTAATCATTTTGGCTAGCCTTTCCTAGGCAACAGCCTACTCTTATTACTATTTTTATTGGTAATAAATTATTGTTCATTACTGCTATCATTCTTATTGCTGTAATAATAATAATTATTTATTATACATTTTAAGGTTTCATAATTGCTCATGCAGATATGCTTCATCAAGGAAGTTGGCAGTGTGAGCTTAATGGGATGAAATACACCCCAATGGAAAAGGAGCAATTTAAATTGGGGTATGAGTATAAGAAATGCAACTGAAATTAACAGAAATGAAACATACAGAACTTTGTCATCACAAAAAAATCCTAGACGTTTGCTGTTGTATCACAGCACAACTAGCACTAAAGGTGCCCACTGAGCCCCAGTAGCCAAATGAATGCAAAGAGATTTTTTTACAGCAAAAAACACCCCCTCCCCCGTTATTCAGCCCAAGTCCCTTGCCTTCTTTGATTGCACCAGCCAAAGGCCTTGGCAAAACTCAGCCAAAAATATAGAAGTTCGAGTCAAGAGTTCCTCTATATAAAGGACTGAGATATTCATGGGCACAAGAGGATCTCCACCCAGCAGCAGCGAAATATTCAAAGGAATCGGGTTGCCCAGATCGTTTGATGTCCATCTCAGGAGATACAGGAAGAGAATAACTTCGATTTTGAAATTAACACTCTATGAAGCAGAGAATTTGGGCCCTTCGAGAAAGGATTTCTTTCCAGCTTAAATTTTCACGCTTCCCCTCCGGTTTGAAACCAAATAGCGGTCGAAACCTGCATCT